GGTTGAACCCATGTCCCTCATGTCTCCTGCATTGGCAGGTGGGTTCTTTACCACTCATGACACCTGGGAGGCCCCAGGGAGAAAGATTTCATAGTTGATGCTTGAACTGAATTCTCTAAGCCAGTGCTCCCGAGTGGGTTGGGTAGAATGTGTATTCATACCCTGTTAGAGATTAACTGCCACAAAAATATTTCAGGCTCAGAAGCTTTACCTACTGTTTTCCTTTTAGAAATTTGAGAAGCTTGTTTGAGATGGTCACCCTGGTGTCTCCCACACAGCACCTGGCCCTCCTGATGCTTCTGCTGTCTTTTCCACTCTGGCCAAGGCAATGTGGAAGGCTCAACCCGAGGCGAAATGGTCGGGTCAAAGTGTATCTATGATGTTCTTTACCACTTTTCAGAGTTTCACTCAGGCCTGTTGGAAGCCCCATTGTCCTGCGAAATCACCATGATGATGCTGGAACACAGGCACAATGGCAAAGCTGGTGGGGCTGGTCTTGCCCACACAGATGGTCCCTGTATCTGCTGGCTGATGTTGCTATAGTGAAATATTGTAGATGGATGACTTGAAGAGCAGACATTGAGTTCTCACAGTTCAAGAGGCTGGGAGCCCAAATCAGGGTGCTGGGAGCACTCCCAAGTCAGGATGCTGGGAGCATTTCCAAATCAGGGTGCTAGGAGCCCAAATCAGGGTGCTGGGAGCACTTCCAAGTCAGGGTGCTGGGAGCACTTCCAAATCAGGGTGCTGGGAGCACTTCCAAATCAGGGTGCTGGGAACCCAAATTAGGGTGCTGGGAGCACGTCCAAGATTGTGGAGGGAAGACCTTAGAAGCCTGCCCGCCTGTCCATAGAAACAAGGTCACATCAACTCAGAGGCAGTAGATGAGAAGATTGGAAAATTATATCAAAGGGCAACACCTTTTCTATTAGGGGGTGTGTGTTTTCCAAGGAGTCAAGTATCATGGAAGTGGTTTAGAGAAAAATGGACGGTGTCGATCATTTGAAGAAGCCTGTAAAGAGAGAGACGCGGGGTGCAGTGAGTGTGGGTGACAGGAGAAGGTGACACAGAGAAGATCTGGGAGCCACTTGCAAACATGAAGCTGATGAGGCTCTGAGGCTCACAGGTCTGCTGGGCGGCCAGGGAAGTGTTGTCAAATCTATTAATACAACCCCTGCTGCCCCTGATGAAAAACAAAGCATCCCTATTTCATACCAATGGACATTATGTATATACTTTTAACAGGATGTCTTGAAATTCTCTCATTGTCCATAAGCTCTTGCACATGCTCAAATCAAATCTTTCAAAATTCGAAGAATTATTTTCATCGCACTCTTTCAGCCTGACATCTCTCACACCTTCACATTCCTCCACGCGTTGTCCTTTTCACTGATTACTGCTACAAGGTGCCAGGTACAGAAGTCGCCAACAGACTCCTGGCCATCAGGCAGGTCACATTCTGGCTGGGGAAACAACGTCTCACCACCTAGCTGTACAGATCGGATTTAGAATTCTCTGTACCCTCCAAATGTCTTTCACTAACACCGAGTTTATTTTTAAAAATTGAGAAAGGACTACTTTTTACACCCTCAACATTTTCCAAGACTTTTTAAACTAATACTTGCTAAAGAAGCCCCTTCAGTTTCGTTATTCAGAGCAGATGGTTTTTAAATGAAATATCTTGTCTCTTTTAAATAATATAAAATTATTCTAATGAACTCCATGTTTGTTGTTTTGCTGTTGCTTAGAGCTAAGTCATGTCCAACTCTTTGTGACCCCCATGGACTGTAGCCCACCAGGCTCCTCTGTCCGTGGGATTCTCCAGGCAAGACTACTGGAGTGGGTTGCCATTTCCTGCTCCAGAGGATCTTTCTGATCCAAGGATTGAACCTACATCCCCTGCATTGGCGGGTGGATTCTTTACCACTGAGCCATCAGGGAAGTCTCATGGAGTTCATTAGAACAATTTTATGAATGATACCTTGTCTCTTTTCATAAAATTATTCTAACAATCTCCATGTAGGCAGCAGCTATTTTAAGTCAACTTGAAAAACTATATCTCTTTTAAAAATAAAAGAGGAGGGATAGTAAATAAGCAAGAGTATTTTTTTTTTTTCATGTTCAAAGACTTTGCTTCTTTCTGGGAGCAGAAGGCAGGGGGTGATCAGCCAGAGAGCAGGGGTCCAATCTAGAAATCCTTTATCCACCTAGGTGGTCCACTCACACTTAATGACACTTAACCTGTGCCCACCCTGTGTGGTTGGGGACCACAGAACTGGGGGGAGGAAGAAGGTATTAATGCAATAACCACACAAATACATAAATTCAAAACGTGACAAATGTGAGACAGGAAAAGTCTTAGGACTCTGACATGGGGATATGATCCACCATGGGTAGAAAGCCTTTAAAATGGGGAATGATGACTTGATTTTTAAAGTTAAAGGCCTGTTCATGGAAATGAAGGAGATTCTTGAAAAGAACTTGAACCTCAGCCTGCACATGCAAGACTTGATCTTTAAGATGACTATTTCAGGCCTTCCACCAGGCATGGAGGAAGCCTCAGGTGGGTGGTTGGCACCTGATGAAGTAGGATTTTACATCCTTCTGTCACACGAAAGGAAGGACACTTGGCCTCAGCACCGAGTGACCGGCTGCAGAAATAGCTCCCTCTTCTGCACAAGCAGAGGCGAGGGGTCAGCGCGGTGGGCTGTGCCCGGCACGGCTTCCTCGCTCCCCACTGTTCCTGCCACCTGCTAATAGAGCATCTTGCCTTCTCTCTTTTTCTTTCACTTGTTAGCCTTCCTCCTTTAACAGGGCAGATGGCTGTGGGGTCAGAAAACTCCTCTCTCCACACTCTCTCGCTCAGGAGAGGTTTTTCTCAAATGTCAGCATCACCAGGGCAGACACACTTCCTCGGTCTCCATCTCGGGCGCTGGCCCCCTTCCTGGATGGAGCTCAGCATGCAGGACCAGTACACGTCCCCACATCCTGCCAGCATCTGAGCCTTCTCCCAGCTCCGACTTACAGAAGTCAACCAATCCCCCTCCTCACCAGTACCTCCCAGGCCGGCATGCCTCCACTTTCTTCTCTCTCAGGAGCCTCAGATCCGTACGTACCTTGGCCAAAACCGCAGACACCTTCTCCCTCTCTAAACTGGGGGTCCTCCCACTTGAGCACGTCTTAAAATCACGCAGATGGCAGCTGCAGCTACAGGCTCTGATTCGGAGGGTTTGTCTGGGGTCTGGCCTGAGTGTTGCTGGTCCGCCAAGTGCCCAGAAGGTGCTGCTACTGGGGGAATTGATGCTTGCCTCGGGTTTCCCTTGTGGCTCAGCTGGTAAGGAATCTGCCGGCCACATGGGAGACCTGGGTTCGATCCCTGGGTTGGGAAGATCTCCTGGAGAAGGGAAAGGCTACCCACTCCAGTATTCTGGCCTGGAGAATTTCGTGGACTGTATAGTCCATGGGGTTGCAAAGAGTTGGACACAACTGAGCAACTTTCACGCCCCATCATCACTGGGAACCACCGTATCATCTTCTTGCGGCCTCTTCGCAACCATGCCCACTGGCTTCCTCTTTATTATCCCAGCCAGGGTCTCTGCTGGGACCCCGGGGCAACCGTCTTGTGCCTGCAGCCCTGGGTGCAGGCCAGAAAATGCTGCTGCTCCTCCTCTCCTCTCCACGTCCTTCAAGGCACCCCACCACATAGAGAATATATTCCAGCTTCCTTCATGTGACATCAGAGGCTCCCCTTGACTTGACCCCAAAGTCCTTCTGCAATCTTTTCTTCTAATTCCTCCCAGTAGAGCCCCCTCTCCTTTAAGTATCATAACATTCTGTTTCCCAAGCCTTTTGCTGTATTCCTACCCCTTTCATAATGGTGTAGAGCATTGGGGGATCAAATCCTAAGCATTGTACCTCCTGAGTACACAATTGTCATTCCGGTCACTTTTTTGAAGATTTTTAAAAACTATTTATTCGTATCTATTCATTTGGCCTTGTTGGCTCTTAATTGCGATACATGAGACCTTTCAGTTGCAGCATGTGGGATCCAGTTCCCTGAAAAGGGGTCAAACCCAGGTCCCCTGCTCTGAGAGCAAGGGGTCTTAGCCAGTGAACCACAAAGACTTCCCTTACTTTCCAGTTACTCCGGGGTCTTCATCTTCAAGATGCCTGGTGAGTGATCCCTCCTGGCAGGAATGGCATAAAGTTGATGAGAAGATGCAGTCAGTCAACACATTATCACAGAGCCTGGGACATAATAGCTAAACAACAGTTCATGATATTTGTGTATAGGTTTGTGCTAAGTTGCTTCAGTTGTGTCCAACTCTTTGCAACCCCGTGGCCTGTAGCCTACCAGGCTCCTCTGTCCATGGGATTCTCCAGGCAAGAATACTGGAGTGGGTTGCCACGCCCTGCTTCAGGGGATCTTCCCAACCCAGGGATCGAGCCCAGGTCTCCTGCGGCTCCTCCATTGCAGGCGGATTCTTTACCGCTGAGCCACCAGGAGTTTATGTGCAGCTTTGATACCATGTACAAAATAAATGTTGTCATTCGATATAGCCCAAGGCTACGGCTTGAGCCTGTAGAAAAACTTTCTCTGATCGAAGCTATCAGCGCTGTTGAAAGTCGAACCCCAAAATCTAATCAATGGTCATCCATTCATCCAAGGAGCCTATTGTCAAATCAATAAATTCGAGAGCCTCTTCCCAATGATAATTGAACTGGTATGCTTGCGCCTTGAAAAATCAAATGTCATTTGTTCGATTCTTAGTTAAGTTCATGTGTCAGCCCTGGTAGGACCGAGGTTGTCACTATCCGTCTTAAAGAAGCCAAGACACGTCCTTATTACATCAGATGGGGGAGGTTGTTCAGTTTTATCCCATGATGGCTTATGTGAAGTTCTAAATTTGCAAAATAAAATTACATTCTCTTGTTATTTTTTAATCTAATCTCCCCTTTGGAAGAAAAAGATGTTTTAAAGTAATTTTCTTGTATTGTTTTAGGCTTGCCTCCAATCCCTTCAACTTCCAGAACAGGCTTTGCAGAATTTTCCATGAGAGAACGCATGAGGGAGAAATTACAGGCTGCAAGGGTGAGAGAAATCGCAGGGATATTTTTCTCGGCGCCAATTACCTTGCTTCCAGTCTTGTCTAGCTTGATTCGTTTGCTCAAAACGGTGTGGATTTGAATACTGTTAAATTTGTTTTTCATGCTCTAAAGGTTAATGCAGCATTTAACTAGGAGCACAGATGCAAATTACACTTAAGAACAATGTAATGTCCTTTTTCTAAGCCATTGTTTTTACCTCTTAAAGAAGCATAACATGTGTATTTTACTGATTGATTTCCTCCCGAGATGGTGACTGAGGTTTTCATAGCATCCCTGACATTACTTAGCAGTAATTTTCTGTTTGACTTTTTAGTCCAAAGCAGAAAGTGCGCTACTGCAGGAAATCCCCACCCCTCGGCCCAGGCGCTTCCGAAGTCCCACCAGGAAAGAATCGGAGACGGAATTTGGCACAGAGGTGAGAAATGGGCCATCCCTACTTTGTAACCAAAGACAGTGACGCCAAATAGAAATGTTCCAGCAAAAGTTCTAGAACAGAGCTATGCACAGAGGGGCTGTTAAACACTCATTAATAATAATAGCTGCTATTTATACATGCCACTGGGTGCTGGGCATTTTGCCAAGTCTTTTCCCCATGTTATCAGAGGCCCTTATCCCAGCACCTCTATGAGGTGGGTACCATGATTTTCGTTCACATTTGCCATACGAGGTTCAGAGGGCCTGCCAAGCCATCCCCAGGTCACAGAGCACGTATGTGGACCAGTCAATATTGGATTCCAGCTCTGTCTCATTCCCAGCATGTCTCATGGGTCAGCGTTGCTGGGTCCATGGATCTTGCTGAGAAACAGAGAAAGAGATAAGAATAGAATCCAATTATGGGGACTTTGAGCATTATACCAAGGTGCCCCGATGTTTTTTTCTAAGCCATGGAAAGCAATGGAGAATAGGATCGGGTGGTGGTTTGAATGCACCGGGATGACTTGTGTGAATCTGAGATGCTGCTGAGGCATCTCACTGTGTTCCTCTAAAGATACACAGAGAGGAAGGGACCTGGCCTGGAGACACAGATTTAGGAAGTATTTCTACTATGGTGAGTTTTGAAGTTTTGAGGGTGTGAATGATGATAGTCCTACACTTGGAGAAAAGCTGACCATAAAGGCCAACAAGGCAAAGAGGAAGCCGGTTAAAGTCGGAAAGCTGTATCAGCGATGCGGCTGAAGGACCAGCACATCTAGGGTGGGAGAAGGAGCAGAAAGAACAGCAGGGCACATGGGTCAGTGAAGTGTTTGCAAGTCTAATCCAGTGGTGTGTTGATGATGATGGTTTTGGTTGTTTTTAAAGTCTAAGCATTAGGGATATTTCTGGAGCAGTCACAAATTTCTTAGATGATGCCTTTTCTTTTTCTATGGTGAGATGTTACAGATTTTCATTTACCTATATTCATCCCCAACAAGCCAGAGATTGCGTGATTACAGGGAACGTTGCAGTCGTGCTCATGGGTTTTCAGAACACTCAGTCGGCCCCCTGAAATGGCTTTATGACAACTGGCTACTCCGTTCTACAGGGGACACATTTCTTTTTCTTTATTTCCAATTTATTTTCTTCCATGAGAGCCATAATTGTAAGAGCCATAGTTCTAAAGTATTGGAAAATAAAGAAAAAGTACCAAGACTTTCCTGGTGAGCCAGTGGTTAAAACTTCATCTTCCAATGCAGAGGGTGAGGGTTTGATCCCTGGTTGGGGAGCTAGGATCCCACATGCCTCTTGGTCCAAAAAACCCAAAACATAAAAACAGAAGCAATATTGTAATAAATTCAGTAAATTCAATAAAGACTTTAAAATAGTTCACATCAAAAAAATATTATTTTAAAGGAGAAAGTCCCTAAAATCCCATCATTATGACACAAACACTTTGGTTGTTTTGGTGGGTGTGGTCTCCCATGTCTGGGTTGTCTGCACCTTCTTGATGGATAATCCTTTCACACAATCATGGTAGTTCTCGCTTGTCCAATAGGCCATGAATGCGATATCCAAATCAAGTTGGAAGTTTTAGAAGTGAAAATATACTCCCTTGGCTCACAGAGGTGTTTATTTCTCTTTGTGAGCAGAAACTTGACCTTTTGTCTAACAGAGTGCATATCCCCTAAGAGCCATTCTCTGACAGTGAGGCAAACACCACCTGCCTTGCCCTCAGACCTGATCTCAGGTTTCCAGTGGAACGTCTCACTCACAAGCACACTTATTCATGTACATACCTTAGCCCAGAAGAAGAATATAAAAAGCACTCGATGTTGGTCCTACGGGGCATAGAGCACATGAAAATGCGAGGTGCTGGACCTCAGCTGCCCGGCACTAAGTTCTGGCAATCTCACTCACTAGCTGCATGACCTTGGATGCATAACTTATTCATTCTCTGAGTGGTAAATATAACCCCCTTCCCCACTTCCCACTTCTTCTTCTTTTTTTTTTTTTGCTGCGTTGGGTCTTATCTGAAGCATGGAGGATCTTTTCTTGCAGCACATGGACTCTCTAGTAGCAACATGCAGGCTGAGTTGCTCCACAGCAAGTGGGATCTTCATTCCCTGACCAAGGATCAAACCTGCGTCCTCTGCGTTGCAAAGCAGATTCGTAACCATTGGACCACCCGGGAAGTCCCCTCGCCTCTTTAAAATAGGGATACAACCCAGAACCTGATCCTTGGTATTTTTTTGAGGGTTAAAGGAGTGCGTATATGTCACAGGGTTTCACACAGTGCCTGGTTCGTGGGAAGCCCTCCCTCCATAGTTAGTAGCTAGTGTCAGAGGCTGTAGGGTCAGAGCAAAAAGAAGGAGCCGTTTGGGAATACTTGGGTCAGGACTCTAAATCCATCAGCACAAACCTATGCTAAACTCTTGTTTCCATTTCGCTTTATCCTCAGCAGATTTGTGATAAGAGAACAAAGCCAAATACTCATCTCCAAGAACATGTCAACCAAGAGGTGGGAATAACACAGAACATTTGACTCCTTGGTCTGCACTAGGCTTGACCAAAATGTCTCTGTTCTGTGGACCTGGTTTGTCGTCCCAGGTGCCCCAGGTTCTGACCCCTGGACACACTCTACCTGTTGCCAGCATCTCTAGGAGGCTCCTTCCTGCTGGGTGTCCAATGGACTCTGAACACACAGCCGTGACAGTCACGGCCCACTCTCAAGGACCCCCAGTGGGGATGACAGACAGGTGATTAGACAATGGGAGTGCAGGGTGGTTAAGATCCGTGGTGGGTGCCTTGAGGAAGCCTTAGAAAGGGCACTTCCCTTGGAGTCAGGTTATGTAAAATATGAAGTGTGTTGGCTTAGGCAATGGTTTCTTGCCTAAGGTATTGGTTTCTTATCTGTGACTCAGAAACACAAATGGCAAAAGTATAAATCAATACACTGGACTTCATCAGAATTAAACACGTTTCCATTTCAAAGGAAACCAAGAAGAAAGTGAAACAACAACACACACACAGAATGGGAAAACTTCTTTGCCAGTCACATACCCTGATTAGTATCATGCCTGATACTGAGAGCATGCGAAAAATCAGAGCTATCTGAAAGACTTTCCAGATTAGGAAGTCTTTAGGGAATTAAAAATATTGACTAGTAATTAGAAGAGAGGTCAGGGCTGGAACTATTTTATTTTGTAATTGTGCTTTGGTAAACGTAATGAGACTTGAGATTGTCTAGCTCAAGCTAGAAAAGGGTCATAGAGCCATCTTGGAGGTTACAACAAATTCAAGGATGAGAAAGAATTCCCAGCTGGACACAAGCACACATCATCATAGGCATTCACTTGAAATTGACTATTATTACTTTAAGCTTTTATGAAGATATTATAGATGATAGTTCTTTAAAATTTAATTCTGCAGACAATCATTTAAAATATATTTAATGGCTTTTCTTATGCTAATATAATTTACTTTTAAATATGTTGAGATTTTGATAAAAATTAAATTACCACCATTTTGATCAAGTCCGTACATATCATAGTAAAACTGTCAATCTTATAATTTTAAAAGATACCAAAGAAATTATTGTCCAAACCTACTGTCCTGTCAAGCAAATACAGAAAGAGATGGAAAGAAACAGAAAGAATAAAATATTGATCTCCACATACACATGTTTGCCAAGTGGAATTTTACTTACTTATTTTATTTTTTAAACTGCTGATGTTAGACTTTCTGCCTAGTCGTCTTCTGTTTTATTATCAGTCTTTGAAAGTGAAAGTGAAGTTGCTCAATCGCGTCCCACTCTTTGGGATCCCGTGGACTATAGCCCGCCAGGCTCCCCCAACCATGGGATTCTCCAGGCAAGAATACTGGAGTGGGTTGCCATTTCCTTCTCCAGGGGATTTTCCCGACCCAGGGATCAAACCCAGGTCTCCTGCACTGCAGGCAGATGCTTTAACCTCTGAGCCACCAGGGAAGGCTTGCCTACACAGAGCTAAGCCTCTCGTCTCTCTGATCGGTTGACTCCTTGGCTTATTTATGTTTTCAAACGTGTCAGTCTCTGTCTTGGGCTCTAGGAGGTAGGGGATCCTGAGGCAGACAGGAGCAGAATGGCATCTTTAACAGTGGGCGAGAAAGGTGTAGCCTTGTTTTATGAGAAAGACTGAACTTAGCAGACCCTTAGAAAGCCTTCCTGACCCTTCCCTGGTGGCTCAGTGGTAAAGAATCTGCCTGCCAAGCAGGAAATAGGGCTTCGATCCCTGAGTCGAGATTCCCCTGGAGAAGGAAATGGCAACGCACTCCAGTATTCTTGCCGAGATTCCCCTGGAGAAGGAAATGGCAATGCACTCCAGTATTCTTGCCTGGGAAATCCCATGGACAGAGGAGTCTTGTGAGCTATGGTCCATGGAGTCACAAAAGAGTTGGACACAACTTAGTGACTAAACCACCACCACCAATTTTTAAACTTGTTTATCCTTACATTACATAATACTCATCTGCTTCTTTCCTTGTCTTCAAAACAGCCACTTAAAATTCTGGAATTTACCAAGACAAATATTAACCCTGCATTGCACTGTGAAATTTATTCATTAGCACTGCTTCAACTTTTGTATAATTGAACGCTAGTAGTTAACTATTTGGGCTTCCCTGGTAGCTCAGCTGGTAAAGAATCTGCCTGCAATGCAGGAGACCCCACTTTGATTCCTGGACTGAGACAATGCCTTGGAGAAGGAATAGGCTACCCACTCCAGGGTGCATGGGCTTCCCTGGCGGCTCAGATGGTAAAGAATCCACCTGCAACTCAGGAGACCTGGGTTTGATCCCTGGGCTGGGAAGATCCCCTGGAGGAGGGCATAGCAACTCAGTCCAGTATTTTTGCCTGGAGAACCCCATGGACAGAGGAGCCTGGTGGGCTACAGTCCAAGGGTTGCAGAGAGTCCGACACAACTGAAGCAACTTAATGCGCACACACAGTTATCTATTTAACCTACTACTGCAAAATGAGAAAATGGAGGAAAAGCATTGAATCTTACATAAATTGGAATTGTATGTATTCTCTTGATATCATGATAGATTGCACCCAACTGATGCCCTCATTTTTCTTCTGCCCATTGCTGGACATTCAGCTGCACTTACGTGGAATTTCATAGCGCCTTTAGCTTGCTGCTCCAAATATTTCTAGCTTTCATCACAAAATGTCTCTGGATAAATGCCTGAGGGGACCCACTCGGCCATTCTGAGATTCACACAAAACTGGAAGGGCAGGGCCTGGGGAAACCCTCATCCACTTGGACTTACTGACAATCAGACATGGTTGATGCTCTTCATCATAGACTGTTTGGAGACGATCCTCTGTGAGCTGGATAATTTATTGATCTTTAGGGTGAAATAGCATTTCCGTTTGGGGATTTATCGACTGTAAAATTTTGTATTCATCTAGTCATGAGAGAGACAGAGCTGAGGAAGAAAACAATCAACCACTTTACCATTCAAATATATTCGTAAACATTTTATTCCCTAGAAACGGTGATACGCGTCAGTGGTCAGAAGATAAGCCTTTTGAGGGTTAACGCTTGTTTTTTTTTAAACACCCTCAGTTTCTTGATTTAAACGATGTATCTGTTATTTTTTTCCACTTTTGTAGCTGGATAGAGAGGTACAAAGGACTCAACAAGAAAATGACTCCCAAGGTTATTCAAGAGTAAAGTTCCACGATTCTGCACGAAAAATCAAGTCTAAACCCCCGGTGAGAAATCCTGTCTTTTAAAATCATGCTAGCTTTAAATTATGCAGGCTTTAAATCATGTATTTTATTGATTTGTTTCTGTGTTTTGAAAATGTTCAATGAGAGATAACTATACACATAAGCTGACTCCTACTGCATGAAATATGCAAGAAAAAAATATGAGGAATGATTCCTACTTTCAAATCCTAGAATCTTATGGAGAGCTTAGAAAGCTGCCTATTGTGGGGAAAGAAAAATGCCTGGAAGGGCAGGAAATGTTCTTGATAAACTGATTTGTTCAGCTGTGAAGTTGTTACCAGTTTTTATTATGGGAAAAAGGGAGATACTAATTCAAGAATTAAAACAAACCAGAAATGGTATTTTTTCAAAGTTTAACAAACTCTGTGTTGCTCATAATTGAAAGTATCTCAGCACTGGCCTATAAATCACTTTTTGGCATTTTAATCATCTTTTCTAAAGCTTTTAACTGCTGTAAATAATACATTTTTGTGTTTGTAGGAAGGTAAATAATTGCTGATTTATATTTTTTAAAAAGTAACTCATTAAAGTTACTTAATAAGGAGGCCTGTCGTATCTGTTAAAGTTCATTACCATCAACAGGTAATGTGTTTAGGAAGCCTGGAATGCTCTTAGCATCCAGCTAGCTGTCAGTGAACTGTGCAGAGCTTATCACAGCCCAGAAAATCTGAAATTCTATTGCTTGCTTCCTCTCTGTAGGTTCCACCTGGCTTCCCTTCTGCTGAGGAAGCGTATAACTTCTTTACTTTCAACTTTGATCCCGAACCAGAGGAGTCAGAGGAAAAACCAAAAGCCAAACATAGACATGGAGCTAACCAAGAGGAAAAGGAAGGAGAGGAAGAAGAGACACCTGTGCAGGAAGGAGTAAGCAAAATAGTATTTAGTATAAAAATAGTGATGAGGAGAGGGAAGATGTTAACCATGATGATGATCGTGTTGGCAGTGATGATGGTGATGGTGGTGGTGGTGGTGGTGGTGGTGATGGTGGTGATGGCAGTGATGGTGATAGTGATGGTGGTGATGATGGTGGTGGTGAGATGATGATGATGGTGGTGATGATGGTAGTGATGGTGGTGATGATGAGGATGGCAGTGATGGTGGTAGTGATGGTGGTGATGATGATGATGGCAGTGATGACGGTGGTGGTGATGATGATGATGGTGGTGATGCTTGTGATAGTGCTGACGATGGTGGTGATGGTAGTGATGGTGGTGATGATGAGGATGGCAGTGATGATGGTGGTGGTGATGATGATGATGATGGTGGTGATGCTTGTGATAGTGCTGACGACGGTGGTGATGGTGGTGATGGTGGTGCTGATGAGGATGGCAGTGATGATGGTGGTGGTGAGATGATGATGATGGTGGTGATGCTTGTGATAGTGCTGACAACGGTGGTGATGGTAGTGATGGTGGTGATGATGAGGATGGCAGTGATGATGGTGGTGGTGAGATGATGATGATGGTCGTGATGCTTGTGATAGTGCTAAACAAAATGGAGAAAATGCATGAATTGATTAACAAAGACCTAGAAGAATTAAAGAATAGACATTCAAAGATAAACAGCACTATTACTGAAATTAAAAATACTCTGCTGCTGCTGCTGCTGCTAAGTCGCTTCAGTCATGTCCGACTCTTTGCGACCCCATGGATGGCAGCCCACCAGGCTCCGCCGTCCGTGGGATTCTCCAGGCAAAATACTCTAGAAGGATTCAATAGCAGAATATCTGAAGCAGAAGAACGAATCAGTGAGCTGGAAGATAAAATGGTGGAAATAATTTCTGAAGAGCAGAATAAAGTAAAAAGAATGAAGAGAACTGAAGATAGTCTCAGAGACCTCTGGGACAATATCAAACGCACGTCCTAACTGAAAGTGCTGTGGATACTACATTCACATTACTTTCTGTAGCCTTGGACTTCACCTCATGATTTGGGGAGTGGGGGTCTTGATTAAGTATGTTCACCTTTCTCTTGTAGGAAAAAAAGAAAAAATTGGAGCAATACAGTTTGAAGTTTTTTCTTGCTAGACTCCACACAAGGATTAGTATTCATTTCATGTACAAAAATGTCTGCCTCTCCAAGGCAAATGAAACCTAGTACTCTCTCCTCTCAGCCTTACAGGTGAACAGTTTTTTGTGCCCCATACCACACCCAAGCTACAACTCAGATTCTGTAATTATGGGTGGGATATGTGAGATCACAGAAAACACACCATGAAAAATGGGCAGACTTGAATAGCCATTTCTCCAAGGAAGATATACAAATGGCCAATAAGTACATAAAAAGATCTTAGCACTAATCATTAGGGAAATGCAAATCAAAATCACAATGAGATACCACCTTACACATATCAGAATGACTATTAAAAATAGATAGGAGATATAGATAAGAAGGAAAGAAGGAAGGGAGGGCAGACAAGTGTTGGCAAGGATGCAGAGAAACTGGTGCATTGCTTATGGTGATGCAAGATGGTATAGCTGCTGTGAAAAATTCTAGTGGTTCTTCAAAAATTTAAACATAGAATTAACATATGATCCAGCAACCCCAATCCTGGGTATATACCCCAAAGAATTGAAAGCAGGCACTCAGATCACTGTACACTCCTGTTGATAGAAGCATTGTTTGCAGTAGCCAAAAGTGAAAGCAATCTAACTGCCCATCAAGAGAAGAATGGATGAATAAAATGTGGTATATACAAGAGAATATTATTCAGCATCAAGGAAGGAAATTCTAACATATGCTAAACAGGGATGAACCTTAAAGACATAAGTGAAATAAGCCAGTTATAAAAAGACAAACCTTGTGTGAATATTTTCACACTCACGGTGGATACAGTCTTTCTGGTGGACCAACTGCAGGTCCTGGCTTCCTCTGCTGTCTTCTCTGAAGTTTTCTCAGCCTGTCTTTGCTCAAAGTAGTACTGGAACAAAGGCAGGAACACAAAAGATCACACACTGATACTACAGGATATTTTCTCTTTTCACCTTTTGAAGTTAGTGACATTCTCTGCCTTCAGCTCAGTACAAGGTGAAGCTGGGAGTCAAGCCCAGGCAATCTGAGCAGGATACGGACCCCACACTTGGTGCCTTTCCCACGGGGTTAGTGCCAGGTGGAATGTTAAAATATGCATAACTCATGAACCCAAGTTCTCTAAGTCATTGTCGAAGAATAGACACTCTCAAAGGATGACACCTGCATTGAGATTTCACTCGCTTTGCTTAGCACATCTCTTCTGACCCTTCTGATTTTGGCATTTTCCAAGTATATGAAATAGTGAAAAAGAAAAGCATATTAAATAGGAAAGTCAGTGTCATTTTATGCTTTCTTTCAGAAAAGATAAAAGGAAAAGGTAACTGGATCTTAGGATATGCTGTCTGGTGCATTTAATATCACGGACTGTTTTTATGTTTAATGTACCAAGTACGTGAATTGTCTATGGGACTTCCCTGGTAGCTCAGACGGTAAAAAATCTGCCTGCAATGTGAGAGACTGGGTTCGAACGCTGGGTTGGGAAGATGCCCTGGAGGAGAGCATGGCATCCCGCTCCAATATTCTTGCCTGGAGAATTCCATGGACAGAGGAGTCTGGTGGGCTACAGTCCATAGGGTCACAAAGAGTCAGAGCCGACTGAGCAACTGACGCATTCACTGTCACTAAGTATCTTTGCGGGATTGTTCCTTGATGTTCTTCGATGTGACGCAGGATGAGGAAGAGTGGTTGGATGGCAAAGATGCTGAGGATCTTCTCCTGGGCTTGGATCATGCGGCTGAAGACTTTGTGGCGGTCAGACCTGCCGATTATGAAAGTGTCCACGTTCGGCTGCAGAAGGAGAAAGAGCTCCTATTCGTACCCAGCAGACGGACAGGTACTTTTTCTCTTGGTCTTCCTGCCCAGATTCAGCATCCTCATTTTCCTTTAGACCAAATAGAGCTGGTGTGTAAAGTTAAAGTGAAAATGTTAGTCAGTCATGTCCGACTCTTTGCGACCCCATGGACGATAACCCACCTGGCTCCTCTGTCTGTGGGATTTTCTAGGCAAGAATACTGGAGTGGGTAGACATTTCCTTCTCCAGGTGTATAAAAATGCCCAATTTCTACAACCGAACCCAATTTCTAATCTGACTTAATAATCAAGAAACAGGTTCAAATCATTGTACTCATTCCTTCCCCCACTGTGTCCACAATCTCTGTTCTCCATGTCTGCATCAATTTGAGAGAGTAGCATGGAAACATACTCATTACCACATGTAAAATAGGTCAGTTCAGTTCAGTTGAGTCGCTCAGTCATGTCTGACTCTTTGCGACCCCTTGGACTGCAGCACGCTAGGCTTCCCTGTCTATCACCAACTCCCGGAGCTTACTCAAACTCATGTCCATTGCATTGGTGATGCCATCCAACCATCTCATCCTCTGTCGTCCACTTCTCCTGCTTTCAGTCTTTCCCAGCATCAGGGTCTTTCTCAACGAGTCAGTTCTTCACATCAGGTGGCCAAAGTATTGGAGTTTCAGCTTCAGCATCAGTCCTTAAATGAATATTCAGGAATGATTTCCTTTAGGAAATTGGTTGGATTGGCTGAATCTCCTTGCAGTCCAAGGGACTCTCAAGAGTCTTCTCCAACACCACAGTTCAAAAGCATCTGTTCTTTGACACTCAGCTTTCTTTATAGTCTGGCTCTCACATGCATACATGACTACTGGAAAAACCATAGCTTTGACTAAGACGGACCTTTGTTGGCAAAGTAATGTCTCTGCTTTTTAATATGCTGTCTAGGTTGGTAAAATAGATAGCCAGTGGGAATTTGCTATATGACACAGGGAGCTCAAATCTGGTGCTCTGTCACAACCTAGACGAGTGAGATGGGGTGAGAGGTGGGAGGGGGGTTCAGGAGAGGGGGGACATATGTATACCTATAACTGATTCATGTTGATGTGTGGCAAAAGCCAACACAATATTATAAATCAATTCTCCTCCAACAGTCCTTGGCGGGCTGTTGCTGCCTGTCGCTCCCACGGACCCCGCAGACCGTCAGCAAAGATCTGTTCTATAAACAGATCAAAGTGTGAGGAAGTAAATGAAGTCATGTGGACTCCAGCAAACTTTGTAATTTACAGAGCATTTCCTCATCCTTCACCCCATTTAATTCTCCCAGGAGCCCAGAAAGATAGATATGTTCATCCCTTATGTACGAGAGAATAGAGTTCAGAGAAGAGGTTGGCCCAGATTCACTCCACTGATGAGGCCAGCAGCCTCCCCTCTGATCTGGGTACCACACTCCTCTCGGTGTGTGAAGCCATGCAGGCCAGTTAGGTGTCGAACTATTTCATGATTCTCCAACACAGTGCTGCAGGGAAACACGTTCACCTTCCCCTTGGTCCTGCTTCTAGACATCGGTTTGGGGCATTTGCACTTTCCAAGAACCAAAATAAAGTCTCTGGTGGTGTCTTTAATTCACCAAACTGCAGCTTGAAATGTTTAGGTTGGCACTGATGTGACTCGTGTTTATGTATGAACTGTCTAGTGCCTACATATAAAAAGCTTCCTGAGAATGTGCAGCCCAGGTACCTAGAAGACGAAGGCCTTTACATCGGGGCAAGACCAGAGGTGCCGCGAACTAACCAGAACATCATGGAGAACAGGCTGCTGATCCAGGAACCGGTGAGCTCTCAGCCCTGTTCCCGAATGTAGACAAGGAGGGATTCACAGAGGGTCTTTGTCCTGAGGGGCCATCACTGGGGGTGGGGCTCGTTTCCTCCTGAGGGTGTCTGCAGACTGGTTCATTCTGTCTCTGTTTTGTTGTTGTTATTTTAATTTGTCCTCAATACCTCTAGTGACCTTCAAACATCACCCCTCTCTGCTCAATCCTATGATTCCCAAGCTGGATTCGGGCTCTTCCTACTAAATCAGATATTGGCAAACCATTTCCCAATTCACAGAAATTTTAATTGTCCCAAGATAGAATGTTCTCAATTGTTTTTCTCCATGGTCGTCTGTCTTGAAATTTTCACGAATACAATTTCCCTGGTGGCCCAGTGGTTAAGAATCCGCCTGCCAATGCAGGGACACAGATTCAATCCCTGGTCCAGGAAGACCCCACATGCCACGGGGCAACCAAGCCAGCACACCGCAACTACCGAGCCCGTGCTCTAGCGCCTGAGAGCCACAGCCTCTGAAGTCCGTGCGTCCGGACCCCGTGCTCTTCTAAAGAGATGCTACCGCAATCAGCAGGCCCAGCCCTGCAGCTAGAGAGTAGCCCCCACTCACCCAACGAGCGGGAGACCCTGCACAGCACCAGAGATACCAGTGCAGCCAAAACACTTAAGAATAAAAATTAATTTTTTAAAAATGTCTCATAGAAAATGTTTTTCTTAAGCACTCCTGTGAAAGTGAAAGTCGCTCAGTTGTCTCCAACTCTTTGTGACCCCCATGGACTGTAGTCCATGAAATTCTCCAGGCCGGAACACTGGAGTGGGTAGCCTTTCCCTTCTCCAGGGAATCTTCCCAACCCACGGATCAAACACAGGTCTCCCGCATTGCAGGCAGATTCTTTACCAGCTGAGCCACAAGGGAAACCCAAGCACTCCTTTAGCCTTTTCTTAAAATTTTGTTTTATCAGGAGTGGGCTGAAAACTATATCTTAATTCTGGGGAGCATTAGTGAAGACTCAACTTTTTTAGTTTTTTATTGGAATACAGTTGATTTACAATTGTGTTAGTTGCAGGTGGATATACATATAGCCACTCTTTTTTTTTCTTTTAGATTCTTTTCCCATATAGGCCATTGCCGAGTCCTGAGTATAGTTCCCTGTGCTATACGGTGGTGGTGGTAGTCTTCAAGTCGTGTCCGACTCTTGTGACCCCGTGGACTGTAGCCCACCAGGCTCCTCTGTCCATGAGATTCTCCAGGCAAGAATCCTGGAGTGGGCTGCCATTTCCTTATCCAGGGGATCTTCCCAACCCGGGCATCAAACCTCGGTCTCCTGCATTGCAGACAGATTCTTCACCAGCTGAGCTACGAGGGAAGCTCATGCTGTATAGTAGATCTGTATTAGTTATTTATTTTATATATAGTAGTGTGTATCCCCTGGAAACCATAAGTTTATTTTCTACAGCCACGGTTATATTTCTGTTTTGTAATAAGTTCATTTGTACCCTTTTTTTTAGATTCCACATATAAGCAATATCATATGTTATCAGTCTTTCTGTGTCTGGCTTAATGAAGACTCAATTTCTAATAGAAATAGGGACTTTAAAATGTCTAGGGAGTGGGAGGTAGGAGAGAGGTTCAAGAGGGAGTGGACACATGTATACCTATGGCTAATTCATGTTGATATATGGCAGAAACCAAAGCACTATTGTAAAGCAATTATCTTTAATTTAAAATAAATAATTTTTTTAAAATAAAAGATCTGTGGGGCAAGGGGAAGGTGCATGAAATACGCGTGGTGACAGAGGATTTCCCCACAAACGCTGTTTATTTTTGTAAACCATTTTCTGTCCTTCTGCTTGATCCCAGGGGAGGAGATGGTTCGGAGATGATGGCAGGATCCTGGCGCTGCCAAACCCCATCAAGCCGGTTCCTTCACGCCCACCCATGTTGACACAGGATCAGGACATTAAGGCAGAACTGGAAACACTGTATAAAAAGGTAAACCTCCCCCTCCCATTTTTAATACATAAATTTACTTGAAAGTGTTTTGCTTTTTGAAGGTCTTAGAGTGATGAATTTGCAACGTCCTATTTTGACTTTTCTTAACTAATTCACTATCTTGCACATAAACAGCAAACAGCAAGCCTGTTACATAAGACTGAGTCTCCTGCCCACACTGAATCCTTTCTTTAATCCTTTCTTTCATCAGCTACGAGCTTCCCAGGTAGGAAGGGTTGGGTCAGTGTCTTTATCCCCTTGTCCAGGTCAGCTGCCCCGGTATTTTTTCTTTTCTCTCTGTCATCTCACACATAAGGCAGGGTTATCTCCCCCACTGTCTCTGTATTATACCACCGGGGATTGTCTATCCTCCCAAATCCTTTCTGGCTGCCCGGCTTGAGTCCTGGCCCTGCCTCTCGCTTGGCTCACTTGACCCTCCCTCCTCTCTGCGCTGGTGTTTCTTCCTTTGTAAAATGAGCTTAATCATGGCATCTGCCTCCTAGGATTGTTGTGCAGATGATTGAGATAATACATCAAAGTGCTTAGAACAGGGCTCAGTGAGGGCTGACCGGCTGGTGTTGAATAGGCAGTTGCCTGCCTTCACTTTTTTCTTCCCCCCAACAATAAATGATTACATTTATTAGTTATCCTTTTTTTAAAATTATCAAATAAATATATTCTGGGGGAGAGAAGCTATATTAAAATTTAAAGAATTGCTAGGCTTTGGTTACATATTTCTTTAATATCAGATACATTCTTACTAAAAGTTCAGATAAATCTATGAACATGTAGTGACATTAGAGATTAGAATAATTATTTTTTAAATGTTTCTAATTTGGGTCAACATAGAATGACTTTTTACTATGAAATCACTTCTAAACTTTCAATCTATGTCCCTTAAACATATCATGGTTTTTGTTTGCTCTATTATCATTCCGACATTATTATCAAAGCTTACAACTTACACATCTTGTCCAGGACCACAATTTCCAATATTCTTTAGCTTTAGTTTTGTACTTATATGAATTTAATGATGCAATTTATGCTCTTTTACAATCTTTCTGTTCCTCCAGGATTTTGTTTTTCTTTATTTTTTAGCTGACAAATACTTTGTTTCTATGTCTTGGAGCTTCTGTTGTTTCCTTGTTTTCCTAAGATATATCCATAGGTACTTGGGCTTCCCTGGTTGCTCAGACATTAGAGAATCTGCCTGCAGTGCAGGAGACCTGGGTTCAATCCCTGGGTCAGGAAGATTCCTTGGAGAAGGGAATGGTAACCCACTCCAGTATTCTGGCCTGAAGAATTCCATGGACAGAGGAGCCAGGCCGGCTACAGCCCATGGTGTTGTAAAGAGTCAGACACGACTTAGGAACCCGAACCACACCCACACACACAATCCAGTTGTACTTATTCCTTAAATTCTTGTGTATTAAGACCTGTCTTGTGTTTTTATTTTCCTTCCTTCACGTTGAATTATATTGCTCTTGCTCTCCTGAAGTGTAGCAAGGATCGCTTCCTTCAGAAACTTGTGTAATTAGAAATGTGTAACATTTTGACTCTACTAAAGCCACATAGAATAAGAGGATATAAGATCATCCTATAAAGCTATAGAACTATAGAGTTAGGTGATGAACAGAGAAGACCTGGACCCAAATCAGAGAATCTGAGAATCAGAGAATCTGAGTCTGGGTGTATACTAAGTTGTGGCTTTGGGCAGTTCCCTTGACTGCTCTGAAGCTGTTTCCTTAATTAAAAAATCACTGTCATCTCTACCTCATACGACCATTATGAGTTTTGAGATGATGTATGTGTTTGCCCTTTTATTAAATTGTGAAATTCTATAAAATATTGTTATCAGAGACAAATATTAATGAGTGGCCATTCTGTACAGAAATGTGGACCCTAGGAGTGGGTTTACAAAGCAAGCATAAACCCAAGCCCCAGGCCATGAGGGATTTACCATCTACTTGCTTTATGACAAAGACGCATGATATAATTAGTGATCTAGACAGTATCAACTTGTACCTAATAATCCATCCATCTCCATCCATCCATCTACTTCAGCATGAAACACTGATAGAATGAAGCACAAATTTATGGGCTAAAATTAGAAGATAGAAGAGTTATTACTATGGAGAGTAGGATCTTAAGGGAGGCCATTAATCTTATCTGTCTCCTTCAGAAGTTCTGAGCTAATTGGGAAATGCACAGGAATCAGAGAAGGATGCAGATCTCAGTTAGAGCTAAGGGCGAGGCTGGATAGGAGAAGGCGGCTTGGGCCCAAGGCGGATTGGGCTCCCTGCTCCCTCTCCCATGAATTATGTCCCCCGTGTAGAGTTCACCATGTGGCGTACCTGCAGAGAACCCACAGGACCAGGGAGCTGGCGCCTAGGAGACCGCTGAGTAAGGACAGCTAGATGCCACCAGTGACTCTGTCCAGCCAAGAACTTGGACTAGTGGATCTTGGGCTTCAACTAAATCTCCACTCAGACACCATCTTCCTTCTCTTTGGGGAAGGAGCCAGTGGGGAGAGCACAGTCCTTCCACAGTCCTTCCTTCCAGTCCTTTTGAGAGGGGGAGCTTCCTAGCTTTGGGCAGAAACAGGAAAGTAGAGGAAGATAAGAGTTCCACTAAGAGGGGCTGGTCATCTTGCTTCACAGAGCCAAGAAGTTAGAGAAGAGAGAGATCTGAAGGGGTTGAAGTCTTCCGAGATCATTTCCTAGACGGTTAGGCTGCAGACATAGCAAGGCATGGAGAACAGGCCAGGCTTCTGCCTACGAAAGAAGCAAAGCTTATATTAAAGGAGTTGTTCTGTTTGGTTGCTCAGTCATGTCCAGCTCTTTTGCAAACCTATGGACCATAGCCCACCAGGCTCCTCTGTCCTGGGATTTTCCAGGAAAAGAATACTGGAGTGGGTTGCCATTTCCTACACCAGGGGATCTTCCTGACTCAGGGATGGAGCTGCATCCCTTGTGCCTTCTGCATTGGCAGGCAGATTCTTTACCACTAGCACCACCTGGGGAGCCCTCTATCCTCCACTAAACTAGAAGAACTGTAGTAGGCAGCACTCTTTGGGTTGCAAGTGACAGAAACCCACTGCAAACTAGCTTAAGCCAGGAGAGAACTTAGTGACTCAGAAAGCTGTAAGGACCTGGGGATGAATCACAAAATGAAGGCGGGGCTTTAGGAGCCGGGACCCCGGGGCCAGGGACTCAGTGCTGGCAGTCTCTCTCTCTCTCTCTCTGCCTCTCTTTCCTCTGGTTCTCCTTGAATGGAGAACCTTCTCTCCTGTGGAATGGAGAAACTTCTCTCCTGTTGTAGGCAGTCCAGAATTTTCCATGGGTGAGGACATTGATACTGTAAGCTCAGAGATGCCAGAGGAAAAAGATCATATCTTGTAGCAAGATTCCCATTATCAACACCAAGGACAAACTAGTCAGTTTTAAGAGGAACATACACTCCCCAACCTGATGTCCTGGAGACACACCCAGAAGATGGAGAATGAGAAAACTTCCCAGGGAAGACCAGAACAACAGCTGTAGAATCTACTGCCGGCTCTGGGCTGGATTCAGGTTCTGTTGCTATTATTTTCTGAGGGAGGGCAAATACATACATTTTACTTTAATTCCACCAATGATTGTTCTTTCTCTGTACAACCTTAAAATTCTTCTTTCATCAGCATGCAACCCGGCATGCACTGAGAACATCAACAGATAATCCACATGCATTGCCTCTGATAGTTTAGGTTTTCAGTTTTCCACCAAAGACTGAAGAATCAAACAATTTCAAAATGAAAACAATACACGTTAGAAATATTATTGGTTCAGCAGTAAAGAATCCCCCTGCAGTGCAGGAGCTGCAGGAGACCCGGGTTCGATCCCTGGGTCGGGAAGATCCCCTGGAGGAGGAAATAGCAACCCACTCCAGGACTCTTGCCTTGGAAATCCCATGGACAGAGGAACCTGGTGGGCTAAAATTCATGGGGTCACAAAGAGTCGGACACAATTTAGAGACTGAACAATATTCTTACGAGGAATTGTTGGTACTTATTTCCTGATGGTTTTCAGTCTGCAAGAAAACCAATATAAGAGAAAGATAAGGAAGGAGGGATCCTTTTCTCCCTAATAGGAATAGAGTTGGAGTCTTTTGAGCAATCTCACTCGATGCCGACCAGGAGTCCTGGAAGCTTTTTCACTTGGTTGAGCTGAGATGAAGGTAGAGACCACCACCAATCATTTAAACATGGGCTAATGCAGTTTTGGGGGAAGAGATACATGATAACATTATAAGTAAGCAGGACCATGGTGGGCTTCCCAGGTGGGTGGGGCTAATGGTAAAGAATCCGCCTGCCAGTGCAGGTGATGCAAGAGACACAGGTTTAATCCCTGGGTAGAGACGATTCCCTAGAGTAGGAAGTGGCGACCCACTCCAGCATCCTTGCCTGGGAAACCCCATGGACAGAGGAGCCTGGTGGGCTACAGCCCATAAGGTCGCAAAAAGTTGGACTGAGCACACAGCACACACATAGGACCATGCTACCGACATTACTTACTCATACCGAGCAGAATACAATTCAGAACCTGAGGGCCACACTCTGAGTGAGCCCAGAACTCTGGAACCGGTGGTAAGAGGGACGGCAAAGCAAGAACCAGCAGGAACCAAGCAGTTGCAGAGGAATGTTTCCATTAAGTCTCTGGATTGATGCTCAGGGGCACAAGTCTTTGCGAGGTGGAAATATTTTAATTAATCCAGGTGGCCAGAGGGATCGTAAGACACATAGTCACCACCTGCAGGTTCAAAACCCTTACCACGATGGTAGGTTATAATTGAATCCTTTTACCCAAAAGAAAGAGAAAAGAGATGGACCTTTGTTGTGGCAGCATGATGGGTGAGGATATTAATGTCAGAAATAGGGCTTTCAGAAGGTACGAAATATTGGTGGAATGTGACCCCTGTGGGGATGGGTTTCCCTCCTTGTAAATCCAAAGGGAGATTTGACTCAGCATATTTTGGAGCTACAATACTTTGGCCATCTGATGCAAAGAGCCAACTCACTAGAAAAGACTCTGAGGATGAGAAAGATTGAAGGCAAAAGGAGAAGGGGGTGGCAGAGGATGAGATGGTTAGATAGCATCACCTATTCAAGGGATGGGAATCTGAGCAAACTTCAGGAGATAGTGAAGGATAGAGTAGCCTTGTGGGCTACAGTCTGTGGGGTCACGAAGAGTCAGACATGACTTAGCCACTGAACAACAACTGAGGTATAGTTGATCCATTTTTTTCAAGCCTACCATATTTTAAAACACATCCCAGTTTCACAAGAACATTTTTAAAAAATAAAAAAATCTGTGTGTAGGTCTTCTCATCAAAGACAGACTGACTTATTTTCTAATAAAGAAAACTTATTGTTTTATGAAAATGGAGGTATACCATATTGAAGGAAATCACAAATCCTAAATATACATTAAGAGTCTACTAATCTTTTAGGGGGGAAATAAGTGTGAAATTGAAAGACTAAAAAGAAATACACTCATATATCCTTACTCATGAATATCAATACAAAGAAAGTAACACAAAACCCAACAACAAATTTACTGGTAAATGAAGACTCATATGTGTATGTATTACTGTCACATATTGGTACAATTTCAATGACTAATAGTAACTGAAAAGCAGATCACACTGTATAACAAGTGTGAATGCCTTTTTGTCCATGCATACATGCACATCCACACACATACACACGGTGTGACCTCCAAGCTTAGTCTGAAGGGGAGAACACTAAGATCTTGTGAGCTAAGATTCTAACTCTGGAGTCCCCTCTCCTGCTTTCCATCCCTCCCTCTGCACATCTCAGGCTTCATCCTTCCTGCCCCAGGCTATAAAGCTCATGTCCCAGTTTCCCCATCTCAATCTACGGCTGCTCAAAAACAGGTCCCACTACAGGTAGGCAACCACTCATCTCCTGGAGTTATTGCACGAAGGTGGACCCCTTCCAGGGCCCACAAGTAGGATCTTGTGTAGCAGTCCATGGTCCCCTAACAGAATGAGTGAGGTGATTTACACGAAGTACTTTATACAATGCACTGTTGTTGTTCAGTTGCTCAATTGTGTCTGACTCTTTGCAACCCCATGGACTGTAGCCTACCAGGCTCCTCTGTTCATGGAATTCTCCAGGCAAGAATACTGGAGTAGGTTGCTATTCCCTTCTCCATGGGATCTTCCCAACCCTGGGATTGAACCTGGGTCTCCTGCATTGCAGGTGGATTCTTTAACATCTGAGCCACCAGGAAGCCTTATACGATGCGTGGTGACGTACAAAATGCCAGGTGAATCTTTATCCTCAGAGGTGGAGCCAGAGCCCTGGAATCCAGGGCTTCTGTCCCTAGTTCAGCATCTTTACATGATACCATGAAGAAGGTTAAATGAAGAGACTCCTGAACACGTTACCTACAGCCGAAGAAGGATGAAAGCTTCACTTCTGAGTAGAGTAGTTGCTGCTGCCATTTAACCTCATAACTTGTAAATGAAACATTCGGGCTACATGATCTTTTCAACCTAGGCAGCATATTAAAAAGCAGGGACATTGCTTTGCCAACAAAGGTCCATCTAGTCAAAGCTATGGTTTTTCCAGTAGTCATGTATGGATGTGAGAGTTGGACTATAAAGAAAGCTGAGGGGAATACATGTAACTCCATGGCTGATTCATGTCAATGTATGACAAAACGCACTACAATATTGTAAAGTAATTAGCCTCCAACTAATAAAAATAAATGAAAAAAATTTAAAAAAAAGAAAGCTGAGCGTTGAAGAATTGATGCTTTTGAACTGTGGTGTTGGAGAAGACTCTTGAGAGTCCCTTGGACTGCAAGGAGATCAAACCAGTCCATCCTAAAAGAGATCAGTCCTGTCTACGGCCATAGCACCCTAAACGCGCCTGATCTCATCTGATCTCGGAAGCTAAGCAAGGTCGGGCCTGGTTAGTACTTGGATGGGAGATTAGTCCTGGGTGTTCATTGGAAGGACTGATGCTGAAGCTGAAACTCCAATACTTTGGCCACCTGATGCAAAGAACTCAGTCATTTGAAAAGACCCTGATGCTGAAAAAGATTGAAGGTGGGAGGAGAAGGGGACAACAGAGAGAGAGGTGGTTGGATGGCATCACCGACTCAATGGACATGAGTTTCAGTAAACTCTGGGAGTTGGTGATGGACAGGGAGGCCTGGCGTGCTGCAGTCCATGGGGTCACAAAGAGTTGGACACGACTGAGCGACTGAACTGAAGTGAACTGGCTGAATCTTTTCCAGATAACATAAATAGCTTCCAGAAGTTCCTCTCCGCAAAGGGGAGGCTCGAGTGAAGTGTGAAACCCCACATCCTGACTCTAGTCAGTGTCCATGACAAGGAGAGACCATGAAGACACAAAATCAAAAAGGTCGCCTCCCCGTTTTGGACTCCCAACCTCCAAAACTAGATTTCCCCAAGAGCAGCGGTGATCGACATAGAGTGTCTTAGTGAGTTCAGTGAAGAAACCCAGAGGTTGACATAACTGTATACCGAGTGAGCCAGGAAAGTTCCAGTGGAAATTTCCACTCCTGTTTTCTGCACACCCAGCCGCCCCACCTCCCTCGTGCTCTGTTATTTTGCAGACTAATTTTCTTCTTCCCAGGAAAACAAGAGCCAGCACGAAGCTCGGTTCAGTAAGTTAGCCTCTGGCTGTTGTCTGCAAACTAAAAACTTGTCCACATGGAAAGAGTTTCTACGATCCAAGTATGATCCGTTTGGACTAGAATCTATGCTCTTCTCATTAGAAGAATTTCAAGGTCACCAGCTGCAAAAACCAAGAGTTCCAGGAAATGAGATAGTAGAATGACAAAGATTAGGGCTATGATTCAGTGGAGATAAACGCTCAAAGACCTAGGAAATCAAGATTGAAGTGTTGTTCAGAAAAGGGCAGGCCCCGAAAGCTCCAGGGAACAGGGACTGGAGCGTGGTCCTCCTGGCTTGATCAGGGTAGAAGGGACTTTGCGCCTGACTTTCCCACTGCACATTAGATCAGGAACTAGGAAGTGCCTGACCCTGTTTCCCCTACACTCTGTTCTCTTTGGCAGGCAGTAAAATACATCCATAGAAGTCAGCATCTAATTGGATCTGGGGACTCTCCTGGGAATTTCCAACTGGACATTGATATTTCGGGGTTAATCTTCACGCATCACCCCTGTTTTAGCCGAGAGCATGTGTTGGCAGCCAAGCTGGCCCAGTTGTATGACCAGTACCTCGCAAGATGCCAGAGGAACAAGGCAAAATTTCTCACTGATAAGGTACCTGTGATCTCTTGCGTGCCAATTGTTATTGGGGTTGGTTCTCCTGAGGAGCCCAAACAACACAAATACCTATCAGGAGCAAAGGCTCACATGCCTCCTTCATGTTCCCTCTGTTTAGGATGTGATGTGTTGTCCTACCTAGAGGCACAAGAAAATCTAAGACAATGTATGTTTAATGTGTGCAAATTCAGTGGCACACGCTTGGCTTAGAGAACCATTTGTGCAAACCGAGCAAATGATCTCACCCACCTCGAATGGGTATTAGATGAAAGATGTGAGGCTGCAGCTTGCCTGTGTGATCTCAGAGGCTGAGATCGTTCACAGTTTGAGGATTTCTTGGTCCTCAGAGACATTCTTATCATTGCATGTTAATCTCCCCCAGTACGATACCTAAACAAAAGTCAGTTGTCTCAACTGATGCTCAAGGAAATGGCTATCCATATTGGATTTACTTCTAATGTGACACTGTCCCATGGAATATTCATGGATACTCTTGATTATAGATAATTTTAGTCTTAGGCCCTGTTTTTAAAAACTTACTGCCCAAATAAGAGATATGGCCAGAATGCCTGCTCTTATGAGTCTGTAATTTTATGTTCTGTATCACAAGAATATCATTCTGTGTCCAGACTTCAGAAGAGACTCCTTCTCTCTTGAAAGAAAATTTGTTTCTGAGACACTAGAGTAAAGAAGTACCTGTCATGAGCAGATGGGTCTGGACCACAGAACAAGAATGGACACACACAGCCCAAGAGGGAGGGGACATATGTGTATCTGTGGCTGATTCATATCGATGGATGGCAGAAATCAGCGCAATATTGTAAAGCAATTATTCTCCAATTAAAGATAAATAAACTACACAAGTAAAGACTAGAGGCAATACTTCTGTCAAAGTTCGCTTCTGTGGAAGCATGGAGATGTCTGAGTGCTTGCACATCCCTTGCGTCATCCTACATGATGCCTGTCTGAGGTTGCAGGCATCATCATTTTACCCTGGAGAAATAGGTGGGTCCAAGCACCTCACTTGTGGTGAGGAGTAGAGCTTCTAACTCAAAACTTTAATCCACATTTCTTTAAGCTCCACGCTCTAAGAAATGCTGTTCAGATGGGCCTTAATCCAGCAAAAACTCCTAAGACTCTTGAAACAACCCCCAAAACCATCAATGAATATAAATCTGAGATTCGGTGAGTAAAGTCTGTGATTATAACCGCTGCCGTTTCCCCTGTACTTGTTGAGAGTTTATTTTTTCAGTTTTTCCTGAATGCACTGAACACATTACAGCCAAATGGGCTTCCCAGGTGACGCTAGTGGTAAACAATCTGCCTGCCATGCAGGAGAGCCAGGTTTGATGCCTGGATGGGAAAGATCTCCTGGAGAAGGAAATAGCTACCCACTCCAGTATTCTTGCCTGGAGAATTCCATGGACAATGGAGCCTGGCGGGCTACGGTCCATGGAGTCGCAGAGAGCTGGACACAACTGAGCCACGAGCACTTTCACCGTCAAACAAAATAATGAGATATGTCCATCATATTAACAGCAAATTTGAAGCCCAATAAAAGAATGAGGATGAAGGTGGGGGCATGGAGGACGGGGGAAAGTGGTTGGGGGGAGCAGAATATGATAACTTGCACCCTCTGTTGATGTAAACAAATATTACTACAGCCACCACTTCTGAGAGAGTGTCTTGTCCGGAAATGAACAAAGAGTTGAAAAATGCCCATGAGTTAGAACCCTGCAATTCTGCTTAAGACACGCCAAAGAGCTGTGGGTACCTGTATGCTGGAGATGTGTGCAAGGGTTCCACAGTATCACTCACAAGAGCAAGAAGCTAGAAATAACCCCACACCAGAGTGAACCCATCAACTGCAGTCTTACAGTGAACATCCATACAACAGTTAGAGTGACTGAATTAGGCCTGCGTGTATCATGGGTAAAATAGTGTGGAGTGAAAAAATCCAGTTGGAAGAGGGTGCTCGCTGTGTGATTCGGGTCATGAAACCTAAAGGCCACGTGGAATGACACTCATGTCTTCCAGGTACACACACATCTGTGTCACGTAGGGATAGAAAAGACACACAGGCCAGTTTCTTCCTCCAGGGAGGGAAAGAAGGGGACGAATGGAGAGGTCTTCGAACGTACCTCTAAACATGGCAAACAAACAAAAACCCTGAGTAAATGATCACTGAAGACTCAGATGATAGAATTTTTCAGAAATGAAATGCTTTTTTTTTTTTTCAGGCTTTAAAGAAAGGTTACTTCTTGAAGTACCTTTATTTTTTTTTTTTAACTTTTTAAATTTTTGTTTCATATTAGAGTAAAGGCCTCTCAAGTAAAGAATCTGCCAACGCAGGAGCCATGGGAGACACCGATGCAGTCACTGGGTTGGGAAGATCCCCTGGAGGAGGAAATGGCACCCCACTCCAGTATCTTGCCTGGGAAATCCCGTGGACAGAGGGGCCTGGAGGGCTACAGTCCATGGGGTCGCAAAGAGTGGGACACGACTGAGCAACTGAGCAGGGACACACGCGTAGCTGATTAACAATGTTGAGATAGTTTCAGGCGCACAGCAGAGGGACTCAGCCATGCATATACATGCTTCCGCTCTCCCTCAAACTCCCCTCTCATCCAGGCTGCCACATCACATTGAGCAGAGTTCCCTGTGCAGTAGGATCTTGTTGGTTATCCATTTTAAATACAGCAGTGTGTGCATGTCCATCCCAAACTCCCTAGCTGTCCAAAAGGAGTCTTATTCTAGCTCATGGCCTTCTAGCTTTACTAAGGTCTTCCGAGAGTCCTCAGTCCTGGCTACCCAATAACTAACTGGCTGTTATCTTCCACCATCTTCCTTTTGCATGATACCGATTGAATGAGCTTCAGTCCTTTATGGGTGTGTCTGTCTCTTGAGCTGAACTATAAACTCCTTGAGGACAGAAAGTAGAAGTGTTAGTTACTTAGTCGTGTCCAACTCTTTGCGACCCCATGGACTGTAGCCCTCCACGCTCCTCGGTCCATGGGATTCTCCAGACAAGAATACTGGAGTGGGTTGCCATTTCCTTCTCCAGGGGAATCTTCCTGACCCAGGGGTCAAACCTGGGTCTGCAGCATTGCAGGCAGATTCTTTACCGTCTGAACCACCAGGGAAGCCCCTTGAGAACAGACACCTCCTATCTCCTACGTGCTTCTGAATCCCCTGCAATGACATCGGGTGCTTGCTCAAGAGGAAAAAAAATTGAATTAATTTATCCACTAAATAATTAATAGCACAAGCACATTTGGGTTCTGTATTGGGCTATTATTTGTAGAGGGGGCAAAATTAGGCATTAAATAATTCCCAAATATATAAAGTATTATTTTCATTCAATAAGAATGAAAGCATTTTCAAATGATGCCTCTACAAATCAAGCCAAAATGTTGCTAATCTAGTCAGCACCAAAAACTCGCCAAGGCATGTAGTAACATTACTTCATCTCCTAAATGTAGAACTTGTGATTTGTACTAACACAGACAGACTTTAATATACCAGTTCTTAACTGGTTCAGCAACATACTTTCCTATTTACAATAATTTAGTCCTTGAGAACTATATTTACTGGACGCTTTATTTTCACAACTTCAAAGCTGGCTGTTTGTTTAAGACTGCACAGTATGAATGAGAATTTTAAGTGGTAATTTAGTCTAATTGAAGTCAGATTCTCCTAAAGAAAGCAAAATTAAATAGCCTCTCAAAACAGACCAGCATCCTACTGACTTCAAATTTGCAATCATATTTTTGGTTTTCTAGTATGTAAGAAATGTCATAGTTATGAAATTAATTATACAATCACTGTAGTGTTATTAGTTTCTATTTTTAATTTGCAAACACACCTAAATAACTTTTAAATACATATCCATGTATTATATCTCCTAGGCAAACAAGAAAACTGCGTGATGCTGAACAAGAAAAAGATCGAATGTTGCTTAAGACCATCATAAAAGTCTGGAAAGAGATGAAGTCCCTCCGAGAGTTCCAGAGGTTTACAAATACTCCCTTGAAACTTGTTTTGAGAAAGTAAGCTTTTTTCAGACATTGTTTTATTAGGTTATAGCATGCACAGAAAATGTATTTGCTGTTATTATTACTCTGTCACTTAATTTCAAGAAACACCTAGGGTGTTGTAAATTATTTTAAGGGAAAAAGTTGACCAGAAAGCCGATGAAGAAGCATATGAAGCAGAAATTCAGGCCGAGATAAGTGAATTGCTGGAGGAGGACATGGAAGAGTATGAACAGAAGATGGAAGCGTACAGAGTCACACGGCAGCAGTGGAGAGCCTGGAAGAAAGCCCAGGTCTGTGAACAGCCTTGAACAGAACTGCCCTGGAGGACAGGGGCGTCTGGGAGGAGGCAGCTTGGGGCAGGGGGAGGGAAACTGGGCAAGCAGACTGGGGTCCCCTGCTCGCTCTTCTCTGCCTCCCCCAGCCCTCTCACTAGGGCACGAAAGGATGAGAGGGCGAACTGGTTGATGCAGTTGTTGAAAATGTCACCCAGCCAGCGGATACCAGAGCAAGCTTTTTCCAAAAACAGGTCTCTGTATCAGGCTGTGGCTATCTGAGCGAGCAAATAAAGTAAAACACAGTAATCACTCATGAATGTGTCGAGGAGCGCTGTGCTAAGCCTTGTACACACCTTATACCACTGAATGTAGGGTATTGGTGCTTCTGGGTTTCTGTCAGAAAATTGTGTAACTTTGTACACATGTCCCTGCAAAACTGAATCCAGGGACAATAAGTAAAAGACCACGGTGTGTAACAGGCATAAGTTCATCCACCTCAGTTCAACTGAGTCACATTTCTTCCTTATAATAGTCCTTTGTATACATGTACCACAGCATCTTTATCTATTCATCTGTCAATGGACATTTAGATTGCTTTCATGCCCTGGCTATTGTAAATAGTGATGCAGTGAACATTAGGGTACATGACGGGTGGGAAGGAGGCCCAAGAGGAAGGGGATATATGGAGATATATATATACTTACAGTTGATTTGTATTGTTATGTGGCAGAAACCAAAACCAAATTGTAAAACAATTGTCCTCCAATTAAAAATAAAAATCAAAAAAAGATCAGGGGGACCTGCAGGGCCAGTTCTGCTCACAATTAATTTCAAGATGCATCCTTGGTCTTTAGAACTGATCACATGAATAACCAACTTCTTTAAGCTCTCTGTAGGGACCAGGCACTGTGATAAGTGCTTTCCAGGCGTGATCTCATTTCAACAGCTCTGGAAAAAAAATCTCCTATGATTGTTCCCATTTTGTGGATGAGAAAACTGAGGCGCAGGGAGGTCAGATGGCTTCATGAACTGCTCAAGTGCACACAACTGATTGGGGTGAAGCTGGATTTGCATCCCAGGCCTATCTGATCCTGAAGACTGCTTTTCAAAGAAATTCCAAAATTTCTACTTGAGATAACTTTGTCTCTTACCCAACAGAGGGCCAGAAAGAAGAAAAAGAAACAGGAAGTCGAAGAACATCCCGCCGATGAGGAGAAGGAGGAGCCAGGTCCCGGGGAGGAGCCTGAGAAACCCGTCCCTCCAGAGCCTGTGGACAGGGCAGTGATAGAGCAGCAGGTGAGAGAGAGAGCAGCCCAGAGCCGGAGGAGGCCGGGGGAGCCCATGCTGGTCCCGGAGTTGAGCCTGGCAGGGAGCGTGACGCCCAACGACCAGTGTCCCAGGTGAGCAGATGCTCCAACCATGAATGAGGCTGACATGTGACGCACACACACACGTGTGCAGCATATGGAGTATGCATCGCCTGGCCAGCATGGAATGGTCAGGAGAATCCTAAACTCTCTGTAGCCATGTAGTAGCTTGTACCATAAGCAACTGCAGGTATTTGTCCAGATTTTGGTGATTCCCTATGATTCACCCACCCAGTGCATCCCCACTGGCCGCCACGGGAGCTCCCTACCTGAAGCTGCCTGTAAGGAATGCTCTGCACAGTGCCTGCCTGCATGCCTTCTGCTTTGGAGCCTTTATCTGTCCTTTCTGATCACTGCTAGCACATGCCCTCTCCGTGGCAAAGTGGATTCCTATCCACTGCACCACCAGGGAAGTCCCCATGGTATGTCTTTTAAAGGGAAAATTTAGGTTTGATTTTACAGCCTTTGATGATGAGTCCCATTTTGACCAAAAATGTATATCTCCGTCTGGTTTCTGAGTTTTCACTGGACTATAAACCAGGTTTCCTTGAGTCAGTGATTATAATCCACTCCCTTCATCAGGCCATCAGGTGAGGGGGCCATGCAGAAGAAGGAGGTGTTTCAGGTCTGTTACTGGTATGAGGTTATTGGAAATAAGCTTTTTAAAAAACTCAGAGTGAAGTCTTTGGAGGTCTTGGATACTTCTTGAGATGGTGTCAAATGTTTTTTATAGGAAAAATAATTGAGCAATTTCACACCTGGAATGGTCCTAAATTCAGTTCAGTTCAGTCACTCAGTCGTGTCTGACTGTTTTCGACCCCATGGACTGCAGCTCACCAGGCTTCCTTGTCCATCACCAACTCCCAGAGCTTGCTCAAAACGCATGTCCATCGAGGCCTACATTATAGAGATGTAAAAAGTTAAACCCACTCTCCCAGTTTAATGAGTACAGAATTTCTATTTGGGGTGATGAGAACATTCTAGAGAGAGATAGTGGGGTTGGTCACATCACATTGCAAATGTACTTAAGGCCACCAAATGGTTTGCTTAAATAATGTTAACATGGTAAGTATTATGCTGTGTGTATATATATAACCATAATATTAAAAAAATAACACTCAAAAAACCCTGAGTATGTTTTGAATTTTTCTGCTCTCACCTTTTCGAATCCTTAACAGAGTGAGTTACTATTGATTTAAGCAATAAGTGGCATTTGGAGTGGGCATCTCTACAAATAAGTAAGTAGACTTAAAGAACGCTCTTGAAGGTGTTGACTTTTTTTTTCTTAACTTCCTGTCTATAAGAATGATATGCTTGCTAGGATACCTCCTGTCTTCTACTGAGATTCAAACGACCTTTAAAAATAAGGAACTTTTCTTAGTTCCCTTCAGCCAAAGAGCAGTGACTCACCGTCAGAAACTGTTAAGAAAAAGTTTGGATTTTGGAAAAGCTGGCTTGACCCAACTGCTACAATATGCTATGATATTTTTTTAGGATAAAACATCGCATCCAAACATAAACCACTATTAGCTTTTATGGTCTGAATTCACTCCATTTGACAAATAATGTGATTCTTTTTACTTAAACTGCTGGGTGCAAACGTAAGGCTTGCTTGGAAAAAAATTTAAAAGACTGTAGCACAGTGATGCTTGGACCGCAGTTCTAAATCACCTGTAGGCTTTCCAGTACCTCTTATTTCACATCACACGTACTATTATATCAAGCCCTGCAAGACCTGTGGCTGCATTGGTTCCGTGAAGACTGAAGCAACTGGAGCGTCACCTCCAGGGTACCCTACTCTGCTCAGCACCCTTGTGTCAGCCACCCCACTTATACTTAGTACATGAATACTGACCCACCCGCGGATGGTCTCACTCTGCAGGGTGGAGGTCTTGCGAAGGGAAGACGTCAAGAGACGCTCGCTGTTCCTAAAGGTGACCTTCAACAACAAGGAGGTGTCCAGGACAGAGAGCCGGCCGCTCGGGGCGGACTTCCGAGTTCACTTTGGACAGATTTTCAATTTGCAAATATTCAACTGGCCGGAGAGTTTAACGTTGCAGGTACCTTTTTAAAATTTTCTCTCCAGTTTTTAAAATTAATTTTTATTGGACTATGGTTGCTTTATAATGTCGTGTTAGTTTCTACTGTATAGAAAAGTGAATCAGCTCTACGTATACATGTAGCCCCTTTTTTGGATTTCCTTCCCCTTTAGGTCACCGCAGAACAATGAGCAGAGTTTCCTGTGCTATGCAGTAGGTTCTCATTAGCTGTCTATCTTACACATAGCGGCAATAGTGTATGGGCTTCCAGGTGGCTCAGTGGGTAAAGAGCCCACTTGCCAAAGCAGGATACATAAGAGATGTGGGCTCGATCCCTGGGTCAAGAAGATCTGCTGGAGGAGGGTGTGGCAACCCACGCCAGTATTCCTTCCTGGGAAGTCCCATGGACAGAGGAGCCTGGTGGGCTACAGTCCACGGGGTCGCAAAGAGTCAGACAGCACACACACCTCAAAAGTGTAATATGTCAGTCCCAATCTCCCAATTTTTCCCACCCCATATTTTAATTATAGTCGCTGTCCCAAGAACTTTTGCTCATCACAGGTGCAAGATGGTTTTAAATTGTACATTGGTTACACTAGTGTCCTAATAGATTCTCAAAGGCAATAGAAGGTCGAGGCACGTCTTAAGGTCTTGGCAGAAAAGATCTGTTACCCTGCTTGGCTCCCAAAAATGTGGGCAGAGTAACTGACCACAGTGCTCAAGTGTGTGTCTCAGGACAAGATGGGGGGATAAGGGAGTGGGGAGAGTAGAGAGGTCTCTGGCTCTTTCATTAGAGAACTTCAACCTTATGCCATACCAAGATTCTGGCATAATATACCAGAGAAATCAATTTCTGTCATCACAGATCATTTTAATAGGGGTGGTGGTACAGATGCTAGGATCCCCCCAAAATAAATCAAACTCCCCACTAGCCTAAAGGCCAGTGTTAGCAAATATTTATTTGCATCTATTATCATTTTCTAAAGCTGCCATAACTAAGCACCACAAATCTGGTGACTTAAGACAACAGACATTTACTCTCTCGCAGTTCTGAAGGCCCTGAAGTCTGAGATCCAGGTGTCCGTGGGGCCATGCTCTCTCCAGAAGCTCTAGAGAAGAAGCTTTCCTGCCTCTGCAGCTCCTGGTGGCCCCAGGTGTTCCTTGGCTTGTGGCAGCATCCCTCCAAACGATGCCTCCATCTCCACGTGGCCTTCTGTCTGTGTGTCCTTTTTTGTCTCTTACGAGGACACTCCTGTTGGATTTAGGACTCACCCTAATCCAGTATGAGTTCATCTGGATCTTTAACTAATTATACCTGGAAAGACTATTTTTCCCAACTAAGGTCACATTCTGTGATCCCAGGTAGACATAAATTTTTACAGGACACTATTCAACCCACTGGGCTTCCCTGGTAGTTCAGTGGAATCTACCTGCAGTGCACGAAACGCAGGTTCAGTCCCTGGGTCAGGAAGATCCCCTGGAGGAGGAGATGGCAACCCACTCCAGTATTCTTGCCTGGAGAATCCCATGGACAGAGAAGCCTCATTAGCTACAGTCCATGGGGTTGCAAAGAGTGGAACACAATTTAGTGATGAAACAACAGCAATGAAAAACAAGACAAATCCAACCCACTTTAATGTCTGAGGCTTGCTGGTCTTCCGGCAAAGCCTCTCATGTTGCTGACAGATTCTATTTCATGATCCTAATAGGCACGTTAATTAGGCTTGCAAATACACGGCACATGTACTGTTGTCTGCCATCTACCACCCATGCAGAAATCACTAATCCTTATCCACCACTTGTTCAGAAATTTATTTTTTTTTTCTCAATTGGAGGGTAATTTACAATGCTATGTTAGTTTCTGCTGTACATCAATGTGAATCAGCTCTTTGTATACGTACATCCCCTCTTTCTTGACCTTCCTCCCAGCCCCTCATCCCACCCATCTTCGTTATCACATAGCACTGGCTGAGCCCCCTGTATTTTACAGCATAGCTATTCCCCCAAGCTATCTGTTTACCTATGGTAATATGTGTCTGTCGATGCTACTCTCTGAATTTGTCCCTTCGTCCCACCCTCTCCTTCCCCCACTGTCCCCTCAAGTCGGTTGTCTACGCCTGTGTCTCTCTTCCTGCCCTGCAAATAGGTTATCAGTACCATTTTTCTAGATTTTATATATAATATTAGTTTTTCTCTTTCTGACTTACTACTCTGTGCAACAGACCTAGGTTCATCCACCTCACTACAACTGACTCAGAAATTTCTCATTCTTGCCCACCACCCTTGCCAGAAATGACAGCTGAACATGCTTATTTTCCCCCACTGAGTCTGGATATAACTTCAGACTCCTCCACAACATGGTATTCCAGGCAGCCAGTGTTTATCATTGTGATTGACATTAAGTCCACAAATACAATTACAGCTGTGTAGTTATTAAAAGAGTTTTGTATTTCTCTACTTAATGATTGAGTACTGGTTACAGATACAGTTAATTGAGAGAATATTGTATTTGACTGCCTAGAAATAATACTGTATCATTTGGAAATTTTCCATATGATTGCAAGTTTTATATAAGGGAAGGTTCAACAATTACAGGCAACTTCAGGAGGGTAAAAAAAATCACCTTAAGAGCATCTGTTTATGCCAGTGCTATCAAATGCTTAACTTTAGAGGGTAACGCGCTTCAGAAAATGTTCCGAGACTCTCAGAATGATCACGTATCCCTTGATGACTCAACACCAAATTGCTTGATCATGGAGAGCCAGCTGAGAGTCTGATGCTGAGCCAGGAGTTTAGGGGAACGTTGGAAGCTGTGTATAAAGAGCGGTGTGTATGGCCCTGCCTGCGGGAGCCTTAAATCCAGCTGGGAGATGAGAGAGACAATTATTGGGGTGGCCAAAAAGTTCATGTTCATTCAGGTTTTTCTATACGATGTTACAAAAAACCCAAATGAACCTTTTGATCAACCCAGTTCAAAGAAATACCATTAAGCAGAGTATGGATACACAGGATACGGAAGGGAACAATGTCCACTGTGATGTCTGATTTTTTTTTTTTGCATGTTTCGAACCAGAGGACTCACTGTTTCCTAGCTAGGCTTGAGATCGGCTGCCAGGGCAACCCTACAAAGCAGAAGATAAGTCCACCCGGAAAGCCCAGGAGGGAGGGGATGAGGCTGGGGACCCACAGAGGAAATGGGAGGAAGGAGTCAATTAAAGCAACACTGCAGCTTGAGGGCTTCCCAGGTGGCACTAGTGGTAAAGAATACTCCTGACAATGCAGGAGACACAAGAGACTCGGGTTCAATCCCTGGATTGGAACAATCCCCTGGAAGAGGGCGTGGAAACCTATTCCAGTCATTCTTGCCTGGAGAAGCCCATGGACAGAGAAGTCTGGCGGGCTACAGTCCACAGGGTAACAAAGAGTCAGACACGACTGAAGTGACTCAGCACGCACACACGAAGTCTTGAAAGAAGGGATTGGCAGGACTTGATGATGGCTTGATTTGTTGTCATTGTTCATTCATTAAGTTGAGTCTGACTCTTTGCGACCCCATAGACTGTAACCCACCAGGCTCCTTTGTCCATGGGGTTTTTCAGGCAAGAATACTGGAGTGGGTTGCCATTTCCTTCTCCTGGGGATCTTCCTAGACCAGGGATTGAACCCGCCTTTCCTGCACTGACAGGCAGATTCTTTACCACTGAGACACCTGGGAAGCCTGTGATGGTTTGACTAGAGAGAGTAAAAAGAAAGAGCATCAGAGTTGGTCCCAAGCGAAGAGTGAGATGGGACCTCACAGGATGGAAGCTGAAGCGGGACCAGAGTCCTTCCAGAAAGGTCTCGAAACTTCTGGATTCTGAAGTCTTTCCAAAATAAATGCTTCTTTTTGTTGTTCAGCTGCTCAGTCATATCCCACTCTCCTGGTCTTTCACAAAAATGAAGTTTGACTTAGAAATAGAGAAAGCTTTGTGATAATGACCTTCACTCCTTTATCATGCACACCTGTCATGCCACCCCATACTCATCAACCTGACTCCCCCAAACTAACAACAGTTGTGTAATATTGCTGGGTGACTTTTATGCATCTTAGCGTTATTGTTTTTTCCTTATGAATCAGTCCTGTTGAGCTTTTATATTCCTGGCATGTGGACTGAGATAGGGAACTTTTCTTTTAACTCAGCTGACAGTCACTTGACTCTCCCTTCCAGAGTTTCTCCTGGTTTCTCTGGCTTTTCTGTTAGAACCGCACTCTCGGGTGGGGACACCAGTCCTGTTTGTAGATGTGTCCTGGATGACCTTCCTTCATCTCCCCAGGACAAGGGGGAGAGAGAGTGAAATACCCAGAGGAGGCTTCCTCCCAGAAGCTCAGCAGGGAAGGGATCGGGGGTGGGCAGGGGACCATGGTTTACTTTAGGGTGTGGTTGATTGGAGCACGTTTGTCAGCTGTGGGAAAAGCGGCCAGCCCAGAAAAGATTGATGACTTGGAAAATAAAAGGGAAAACTGTGGAAGGGGCGGGTGGGAGAGGGGAGGGAAAGAGAGTGGGAGTGTTGAGAGATGATGGGATGGGATACTCCATCCCATCAATCACAAGTGCGCCAATCAACCACACCCTAAAGTAAACCGAGGTCCCCTGTCAACCCCCGATCTGTTCCCCGCCTTCCCTTCCCTGCTGAGCTTCTGGAAGGAAGCCTCCTCTGGGTATCTCCATTCCCTCTCCCCCTCATCCCAGGGAGACAGAGGAGGGTCATCCAGGGCACATCTCCAAATAGGACAGTTTTCCCCACCCCGAGTGCGGTTCTAACAGAAAAGCCAGAGAAACCAGGATACTCGTGAACCTGTAGTATCCCATAGGTTCATGAGAGGTGAATCAAGACAGAATAGTGGGACTTTCTTGGTGGCCCAGTGGTTAAGATTTCACCTTCCAGTGCAGGGGCTGGGGGTTCGAACCCTGGTCGGGGAGCTAAGGTCCCACATGCCTTACATCCAAAAAAAAAAAAAAACAAGAAAACAGAAACAAGAT